CATTATTTCCAGTTTTTTTGGAACTAAATGCCATAATGATCATCTTTGTTGTAATGCATAACTTTCTAAAGGTAACATCATAATTCTCATATAAATATAAGATGAAAGTGTGCCAGAAATTCATTTAAGTCATGATTAATGAGGAATCCGGTAAGACATGACAACAGATCCAAAGGCAAATCTGAAGAATGGACACATATGTAGGCAAACAGGATGGTGAAATAAATTTTCTAAGAAATGCAAAACGGGTTAATAGCTATGGAGCCACTAAACATAATGTTTGCAATCACCTTTTTTACAGGGTGGGATCAATTATATCCCTGTGAGACAAAATTTGTTTGCATTTTTATAGACAAGAATGAGTTTCACTCTACCTCACACCTATTAGGATGGCCTCTATTGAAAAGAGCGGGAGAGAGAGAAACAAGTGGCGTGAATGTGTAGAAACTGCAGCCGGAACCCTTGTGTGTTGCTGGTGGGAATTGAAGCGGTACAGCCACTATGGGAAACAGTATGGTGGTTTCTTCAAATTAAAAACAGAATTACTATAGATACAGCAATTGGAATGCTGGGTGTCTACTCAAGAGCATTGAAAGCAGAGTCTCCACGAGATACGTGTGCACCCACGTTCCCAGTGGCATTATTCATAATGCCCAACCAAGTGCCTACCAGCAGATGAATGGATAAGCAAAATGTCGTCTATACATATAAGGGTGTATTGCTTAGCCTTAAAAAGGGAAGAAAGTTCCGATTCAGCTATCACATGGATGAACCTTGAGGACCTTAAGCTAAGTGAAATAAGCCAATTCTTTTGCGATTTTACACCTAAAGTAGTCAAAACTGTTTATTGAATAGACATATGGAGAAATGTGTACAATATACAGTATTATTTCCAATATACATGAACAGTTTTGCAAAAATGGATCATACTTGGGTGACGAAATAGTCTGTACACCAAACCCCTGTGATGTGCAATTTGTCTGTATAATAAACCTTCACATATATCCCTGAACCTAAAAGTTTTGAAAAAGGAAAAACAAATTGATCATATCCTAAGCTATAACAAAAACCTCACTACATTCCAAAAAGATAAAATTCTAGGATTCATGGTCTCTGATCATAACAAAGGATACATTACATAAAATCACTCTTCCAAATAATTTTAGGGTAAGAAATAAAATAATCAGCATAGAATATTTTAAAAATATTTACATGTAGCTAAAATTCTCCTTAGGAGAAAAATCATAGTTACAGAGCAGGGTTTCTCAACCTCAGCACTTACTGACATTTTGGGATGAATAATTCTTTGTTTGATGGGAACGTCCCTGGCCACTACCCAGCAGATGCCTGTAGCTTCCCACCCTCCAGTTGTCAGAACCAAAAATGTCTTCAGAGAAATGCCTCCTGCATGGTAAAATTGCTTGTCTCGATTCCTGCCCTAGATGTTTCTATTACTAAAAAAGAAAGTATGAAAATAGCTTAATTTGAAAACCTATGTAAACAACAACATATGATACCTCAAGTCAACATTAATAGAGAAGAAAGCAGAATTTAATGAATTATGAAAGTAGTCAATTTTTAAAAAAAATTTAAGAGCTGGTTCTTTGGCTAGACAGTTGAAATATATAAAGTTTTGGCCGGGTGCGGTGACTCATGCCTGTAATTCCAGCCCTTTGGGAGGCTGAGTACGGGTGGATTGGATCACTTGAGGTCAGGAGTTTGAGACCAGCTTGGCCAACATGGCAAAACCCCGTCTCTTACTAAAAATACAAAAAGTAGCCAGGTGTAGTGACATGTGCCTGTAATCCCAGCTACTCAGGAGGCTGAGGCAGGAAAATCACTTGAACCCAGGAGGTGGAGGTTGTGGTGAGCCAAGATAGTGTCACTGCACTCCAGTGTGGGCAACAGAGCAAGACTACGTCTCAAATAAAAAATAAATATATAAACTTTTGAGAAGGAAAATTTTAAAAAGCAACATGTATTCACAATATTACAATTGTGAATGGGAATGGATGAAAACCATAGAGTGTATTTAAAAACATATTATCCAGTTATATGCTAGTATGTGTTAGTATCTGGATAAAATGAATAAATATGTGTGTGTGTGTGTGTGTGTGTGTGTGTGTGTGTATATATATATGTAACATTCACCAAAACTGACTCAAGAGAAAATGGAAACTAAAATAGACCTATTAGCCATGAAGGATATTGTGAAAACAAAAAGCACTGGGCCTCAGATGGTTTTCTGTTTAAGCGCTTTCATTCTCTAAGGAAAATGTAATTTATATGTTGTTTATTCTGTTCTAGGGCATAAGGGAAAAGTTCATTTTCTAAAGCTGATCATAACAAAAACACCATTTGACAAAAGTAACCCTAAAAAATAAAAACTAAGAGATATGTAATAAAAAAAGACATGCCAGACACATTCAAACACATATACAGTCAAGGACAGCATTATTAATATCAGACTTCATGGAATTTGAGGCAAAAAATTAGACCAAAAAAGATAATAATTTAATCCCCATAGTGAAGATATAATTGTCTGTCGTCTTTTTGCGATAAAAACCAACATCAGGGCCGGGCGTGGTGGCTCATGCCTGTAATCCCAGCACTTTGGGAGGCTGAGGTGGGCAGATCACTTGAGGTCAGGAGTTCGAGACCAGCCTGGCCAACATGGCGAAACCCCTTCTCTACTAAAAATATAAAAATTAGGCATGGGGGCACCATCTGTCGTCCCAGCTTACCTGGGAGGCTGAGGCAGGAGAATCACTTGAACCCAGGAGGCAGAGGTTGCAGTGAGCCCACTGCACTCCAACCTGGACAACAAAGCAAGACTCCGTCTCAAAAACAAAACCAAACCAACATCAAATTCCCAAAACAAACACTTTATGCATTAAAGGGAAATGTTTTATGGAAGCAGAAAAAATTGCAGGCAATCTGGACAAGACTGTGTAAGATTAAAGAGCCAAAAAGCTAAGGAATCTAAAGAATAATCACTGATAGAATGGATAAATATTATACTGCTGTATTCGTCTGCAAACACGCCCTATTCTTTGTAAGGACTGTGGAATATGTACACAATTTAATCATATTTGGGTCCCAAAGAAAACCTTAACAAAGTCTCAAACTTGTGAATAGTACAGACCCCATTCTTTCCTCATTTTTGTTACTAGAAATTGTAGCCAAAAGAAAAAGAAAATTAGCCACTTAGAATTTCCAGAACTCTTTTAGTTAGATTCTCTTTTTTAAGTTCCAGGGTATATGTGCAGGGTGTGCAGGTTTGTTACATAGGTAAATGTGTGCCATGGTGGTTTGCTGTACCTATCAACCCATCACTTAGGTATGAAACCCAGCATGCATTGGCATTTTTCTTGATGCCCTCCCTCCTCTTGCCCCTGACAACAGGCCCCAGTGTGTGGTTTCCCTCCCTGTGTCTAAGTGTTCACATTGGTCAGCTTCCACTCATAAGTGAGAACATGAGGTGTTTGGTTTTCTGTTCCTGTGTTAGTTTGCTGAGGTTGATGGCTTCCAGCTCTATCCATGTCCCTGCAAAGGACATGATCTCATTCCTTTTTATGACTGTATAGTACTCCATGGTGTATATGTACCACATTTTCTTTATCCAGTATATCATTGATGGGTATCTGGGTTGATTCCGTGTCTTTGCTATTGTGAATAATGCTGCAATGAACATACACATGCATGTATCTTATAATAGAATGATTTATATTCCTCTGGGTACATACCCAGTAATGGGATTGCTGGGTCAAATGGTATTCCAGAACTCTTCTTGAACAACTCTTGGAACAAAGAAAGTAGATTTTAAATGTTCTAATCTGAGAAATGTTATATGAAGTGATGGATATATCATTTCACAGTGTATATATGCATCAAAGCATATCATACATATAAATATATACAATTTGTCATTTGTCAATTAAAAAATAAAATATAACTCAAAATTGAGGGGGAAGCAGCAACTATAAATCTTTAAAATGTGAAGGAAGGGATAAAGATGAGATATTAAAGAATTAGAAAACAGAGAAGCAGAAGTGATAAACTTGAGATTTGATTCTTTTGAGGAGAAAAGAAACAACCCACATAAAACTGAAAACCCATTTGTCTTCCTAATGAAGAAAAAGTGAGAGAAAAACAGATACTTGATGTTAGAAAGGGGAAATAACCACAGATGCAGAGGAAAGAAAACTTGTAAGAGTATGCAAATAGGTACGCTTCACTGAACAGGGCGTGGACACATATTTAGGTCCAAAGTCTTATTCTAAATGTGTGTTTAGTGTGAGAAATGCTTATATGTAAAAACCAGTAGCTGGCTTATATTCCAGAAGTAACCAGTTAGAAAATATCATGGGGAATGGAGTTAACGATAAAATTGCTGACCTGTAGGAAAGTGCTCAACTTTATCAATAAATTTATTCAATGTATTTAACACATGCTTATACAATATAGGGCTCACGGTATGCCAGGTACATTTGATCTTTAAGAACTCTAGAGTGTAGGTTTGCTCATATCCACATTTTACAGATGAAGAAACTGAGGCACAAAGAGGTTAAGTAACTTGGCCAAAGTCACCCAGCTGGTAGATGGCAGGACCAGGATTCGAAATGTAATTAGCGTCCGCATCTGTGTGCTTTGCTGTCATGCTGACTGCTCAGTTCATGCAGAGACATATCATATTCCAGGAGGGAAGACTCAGTCTCATCAAATGATCCAACATAACCGGACTGAGCTCTCTGGCAGGGGCTGAAATGCAAAGCATCTGTCTGAGGTGAGAGTCAGTAGAATGGCACACAGCCACGGAGCTGCCGTTTTCCCACGAGTGCGCTGGGGCTCCATCTTGAGATTCACCTGTCAGGGATCGGAGCAGGAGCCGTACCCATCACTTCTCCTCTGCATTCCCTCCTCCCAGTCTGCTAGCACAGATGTGATGGAGTGGCAGGACAGACCCTTCCTAACTCAAACCCCTTGTCCTCCTCTCTTAGATCCAGGAGATGGTCCACTCGGAGGTGGCCGCCTATGACTCGGGCCGGCCCGGGCCCCTGCTGGGTCGCCCGGCAATGCTGGCCAGCCACATGAGTGCCCTCAGCCAGTCCCAGCTCATCTCGCAGATGGGCATCCGGAGCAGCATCGCCCACAGCTCCCCATCACCCCCGGGGAGCAAGTCAGCGACCCCCTCTCCCTCCAGCTCCACGCAGGAAGAGGAGTCGGAAGCGCATTTCAAGGTATGTGCAGTGCAGGAACAGAGCCTGAAGCTGCTCTCCTGTCAGCAGGGAAGGGGTCCCGTGGGGAAATGGGCATCACCTCCCTCTAGTAAAGACTAGAAAAGCCCGATGTCTTGGGACTGAGCAGGCCTTCCTGGTGGTGGTTGGGATATCCGCCACAGAGCTCAGTGGTTTTCTGTTAAGACACCCAGGCCATGCTGGAAGCCAAGGAAAAAGCACATTGGCAGGTGGAGCACCTGGTCAGGGGGATGGCACCTATGGGCCTTGGGACATAGGGCTTTGGCTGCTCCATGTGCTGAGTGTCCTTGACAAGCTGTGTCCCCTCGGGGCTCCCACAGCCTTGTGTGTAAAGCAGAGAAAATTCCAACAAATGTCGAGGGGATGGGGTGAGACAATCTTGTGAAAGTTGGCAAAGCCTGACTCCTGAAGGCCAGTGGGCGATTTCAGAGGTGTGGACGGCTTCAGCAAGGCCATTGGGGTCACATTTGCGGCCATTTGGCCCTTTTAGGAGAAAATATTCTGACAAAACTGTGTGATCCAGGAGGCAGCACCTCTGGGCCTAGAGTATTCACTGACCTTGAGGGTGGGGTGCAAAAATGACCCCCCCGGTGGGAACATGGGTTCCCCCAACATTCCTGGAGTCGAGTGGTTTGACCTCTTCAAGAACATGGTAGACATGGTAGGGATGAGAACCTGCCACCTGTCCAGGCTCTGGCCCTTCTTTGCATTGACTCCAAATCCACCTCCCAGTGAGAGAACATCTTGTCTTACCAGGGAGGAAAACAGAGGCCCAGAAAGGCCACAGACAGAAGTGTTTGCCTGGGGCCTCCCAGCAAGCTAGTGGTGGAATCAAGACTTACCTCCCTCTTCGTGCCTCCTACCTCTGTCGATCCAGTGTCCCTTCCACATGGTGGCCTCCCAGAGGCCTGGGGCAGTAACCCTGGACTTCGGGGGGGAAGGGAGTTTACCTCTGGATCCTGGCCCAGCTTCATCCTAAGGATGACTCGACCTCTATTATAGTTCTTGCAGGAACGGTTTTTGTTTAACAAACACTCCCTATAGGCCAGACACTGCTCTAAACACGTGACAAGTATACGTCCATGTAATCCTCATAAAAGTCCTCTGGGACAGGGACTGTTATTATCTCTGTTTGGCAGATGGGGAAATAATGTATCTGTTATCATACATTTAGTAAGTGGGGGAACCAGGATTCAAACCCAGGAGGCTGCAGGTGTAGTCCAGTTCATGTGCCCTCAACCCCCCGCCCTGCTGTGCCTGTTCAGGACTTTATCAATGACAACATGCCTCTTCATCCCTGATCTTGCTAGGGCCACACCATGGTGCTAACATAACTGGGGCTTGGAGAAGAGGGTGGCTGCAGAGATAAGCCTCAGGAACAGAACCATGTTCTTCAGACATGGATGCCTGATCATGCCTCCTGGCCCATGGCTTTATCATCAGTTCAACGTGTCACCTCCATCTTCTTGGCTTCTAGAGCCAGAGTCTTCACTGCAGGGTCCAGGGCTTTTGACCAAAGTCCCCTGTACCTGCATGGCTTGAGTGACCCAACAGAGTCCCACTGACGTCTGTGGTGGGCATCCCAACCATCCCCCGCCCTGGAAGCCCGAAGTCAGTGTTCACAGGATCGTGGTCCTGCGGTCTGTCCAGGGCGAAGCCACTGGCTCCACGGCTGACCCAGTAACAGTCGCTGTAGCTTCATCCCCTCCCCACTTTACAGGGGTCCAGGGCCTAAGCTACCTGCTCAAAGCTGTGCAGCTGAAACATGGTGGTGGAGACCAGCCTTTTGTAATGCAGGATCCTTTTTGGGGATTATTTGTGATCACAAGTGGGAGAGCAGATATATATATATAGATAGATAGATAGATAGATAGATAGATATCTATGTAGACACGTATCTATATAGATATCTATCTATATAGACACGTATCTATATAGATCTATATGTATATAGACATGTATATATAGATCTATATCTATATAGACACATATCTATATATACACACATATATACATGTATATATACACATATATACAGGTATATACACATATATACACACACATATGTGTGTGTGTATATTTACACACACACATGCACACACACTCCAAACTTGGAAATAGGCCCCCAAATAACTGCACATTCTTTCAATGTCACACCAAAGCATTGGCTAACAGGCTTACTCAAGAATTATCTGATTCTCTAGGAAAGTGGACCTTTGCTTTGATTCATTATTCATTATTGATTAGGGGATTTTATAACTCTGTAAAAGAAGAGGTTACCTTGGGGGGGAAAATGTAATAAGAGATGTAAGTGATTTTTGTCTGATTATAAGGCAAATTAACTTTGCCCAGTAGAGATGCGAATTTCTGTCCAGTAGAAAAGATTCAAAGTCTTAAAGGTGATAGTTTTAGCGTTCTATTGGCACTAACCACTTTCACGTGTAATTTAGCAATCTAATTCCAGCATTCTTTCCATTCTTTCAGTGACTATACAGTCATCTTCTCCTCCTGCATTTCTCTGAATCAACTTTACAATCATGCTGGTTCTCTTTAATGAGTTAAACACCCACCCAGGGTGTGTGTGTCTGTCTGGCCATTGCCCTTTCCACCTCGCTAGTGGTTATCTGTGCATGAGCAGGGCTGGAAAAGCGCAGCTTGGCCGGAGTCTGTGTGGATTGCCTTTGGCAGGAGGCCCTTGGGCTTCTTTGGTTATCTGACTCTTCTCACTCGGGCAGATATCGGGAGAAAAGAGACCTTCAGCCGACCCAGGAAAAAAGGCCAAGAACCCAAAGAAAAAGAAAAAGAAGGATCCCAACGAGCCGCAGAAGCCTGTGTCGGCCTACGCACTCTTCTTCAGAGACACTCAGGCCGCCATCAAGGGTCAGAACCCTAGTGCCACTTTCGGTGACGTGTCCAAAATCGTGGCCTCCATGTGGGACAGCCTGGGAGAGGAACAGAAGCAGGTGAGCCTCCCTCTCTTTCTGGGCCATCCCCTGAGGCTTTGTGGTCCTGGAGCTAAGGACACACTTTGAAGGTCTGAAACCAGGCCCAGCTCCGGAACTGAGACTCTTGCAGAGGTCTTTCCTGGGCTCTGGAACTTTCCTGGGCTCAGTTGCCCATCTGTAAACTGGGAACCTGGTTGCCTTCCAATTCTACTAACCAACTGCATTTACTAGCAACTTAACCACTCGAAACCTCTGCTTCCCCCTTGATAAAATGAGAACAAGCATCTCCATCCATCTTGTCCCTCCAACCCTAAAAGTCTGGAGTCCAGGCCAGAGCTTCCTATCCCACTGACCATGTGCCTGTGGCCTCCTTTAAAGGCCTCCAGGGAGAACAGAGAGCAGAACTAGCTGGTAGGCAGATGGAGCTGCCAGCTGTGTGACCTCAGGCTGACCACCTAAACTCTGAGCCTCGGTTTTCATGTCTATAAAACAGGGGTGCTGGCAACTCATTCTCTGAGCTCTTGTCTGGGCTGAGATCTCCCTCCGGTATTTCACTGAATCCTTACAACACCCTGTGGAGTAGCCATTGCCTTCCTGTTTTGGTAGAGACACCAAGAGGTAAAGTGACTCGCCCAGGGTCACCAGCGTGAATCAAGGTAGTCAGGATTTGAACTCACATCTGTAGAAGCAGGAGGCTCAGTTGGGATGTTGGCATGAGAGACATGAATCAAATAAGCAGATGAGTAAATGTAAAATTACAGTTGTGATTGTGCCATGTACCGGGAGGATACATAGTTCACGAGAGTGGAAAGAGCAGGGACGGACATTGTCCCTGCAGTCAGGTCTCCAGGTGAGACCTGAAGAGTGAGTTCTTTTTGGAGGAGGGGAAGTGTTCCAGGCAGGGAGGCCTGGTAAGGGAAGGAGCCTGGAAAAGCACAGGGGACTGAAAGGAGACCAGGATGGCCAGAGAGGAGACAGTGAGAGTCCTCATGGCAGAGATGGAGCTGGAAAGGAAGGCAGGGGCCAGATCATGCTGGGCTTTGCAGACCTTGGAAGGAGTCAGGCCCTGTTCTAAGAGGAGAGAAAACCAGTGAAGAGTTTTATGCAGAGGAGAGACCAGAATGGCAGCATAAGGCAGGTAAGAGTAGATGTGGAGGGTGCACAGTCATCCAGGTGGGGGAAGGTGGGGCCTGGAGCATCTTCCAGAATGGTTTGGGGTAGGGGACCCAGAGCACACCCTGGCAGCCTCCTTACATCTGGCTTCCATTCTGAGTAAATGGAGATGCCAGTCACTGGATGGGAAATACGGGGAAAGTAGCAGGCTTGGGGCAGAGAGATGAATTACTGACTTATTTGAAACATCTCCTTTACCGTATTCTAAAATTTTAGGTAATTTTGGAATATGTTACAATGCAGAGAATTTATTTGTGAGATGACCCCCACCTCTGGTAGGACAGTAGGGAAATGAGACAGAGAAAGGAGGGCAGCCAGGAAAGGGCACATTGTCCCAGGAGAATCCACCATGGGCAACTGGAGCACAGTCCTGCTGGGAACTCAGGAGCCTGCTTAGAATGTGCCAGGCCTCAGGGTCATCCTGTCTGAGGGGCAAGGGTGCTGGGGTGGACACCAGCATTCCTTCCTTCTGCAGCACCTCTGACCTGCTACACATGCCAGGCTCCTGCCACCAGAGGGACCCCCAGGCAAAGGAATATAGCCGGTGGCAGCTGGAAGTAGAGCATGTTTGTAGGACAGGGGTAAGGACTGGGGGATATTGGCAGGGCACTGCGGCTTTTGCTACAGGGACATCTGTCTTTTTCACTTGTGTGTTTTGTTGGCAACCAACCAATTCCCTTTCAAAAGACTTCAGGTTTTTTTGTTTGGTGGGGGAATTTCCTTGCCCTTTTATACAGTCTGGGGAGACAGTGGTCTCAAGTGCTGTGTCCCCAGGCATTCCTTTCAGTGATGCTTTCTCTGACTTTGTTCAGCACAGCCCAGAGACAAGCAAAGGCGGTTGAGAGTCCCAGCCCCTGTGTCGGTTTCATTTCTGCTTACCCGCCTGGTGTTTTATTTCTAACCCAAGAACTTGGCATATAATTTATTTCCATCCAATAATGGGCATATCTCTCCTTTTACTTAATGCATTATAAATGGCATGTTTCTCCCCATTTTCCTAGCAAATTGTTGATGTATAAAAAGTTAGGGATTAAAATAGTAAGCTTGGCGGTTACAAATTAATCATTTCTGATCATTTTTAATTCCTGAGTCTTCTAGGCTTAAAAAATGTGTCTATAATTATGTACATATTTATACACATATATCTTTTACAAACAATAATTTTGTCTCCTTTGTTATTTAAGAGACAGGGTGTCGCTCTGTCACCCAGGCTAGAGGTTAGTGGCATGATCATAGCTCACTGCAGCCTTGAACTCCTGGGCTCAAGCACTTTTCCCAGCTCATCTTCCCAAGTAGCTGGGCCTACAGGCGTGCCGTGCATCACCATGCCCCACAAAATTTTTTTCATTTTTTTTGTATAGAGACAGGGTCTTGCTGTGTTGCTCAGGCTGACAAACTCTTAGCCTCAAATGCCTCCCAAAGTGCTGGGATTAGAGGCATGAGCCACTACATCCAGCCTTGTCTCCTTATTTTGTCTCCTCACTTCTCAGATTTCTAATTTTGTTTTCTTTTCCCAGTTATGTTGACTAGGACTTCTGAAAAAGAGATGTTCAGCAATGTTGGGGATAGTGGTCTTCTTACTTTGCATTACCTCTCATGTTTCACTATTAAGCATAAGGCTGGATGTTAGCTTGTGTCGGTTTTTGAAATCACATTTAGAAATGTGACTTACATTCTTATTTTACTATTAATACACTAACAACCAAGAGGGGTAGTGAGAAAATAATAGGAAATAAAAAACCCCTGCCTCTCCCCCAAACGTTTCAAGCCTAGATGATGGATAGGAAAGTTCTTTCAAATCATCAAAGAGTTAATAATTCCAAGACTTAGAAAAATAAGAAAACCTTCTCACAAATCCTTATATACAATGTAACCCTGACACTAAAACATAATGAAGCTAACTGCATCATTTAATTTTGAATGTGTAGTAAACAATACCAAAATTTAATGGTTTAAAACAATAATCATTTATTCAGCTTATGATTCTGAGGGTCCATGAACTGTTCTGGGCTCAGCAAGATGGCTCTGCTGCTGCTCTTGGCTGGGCTCACCCATTTGCATCAGTGGTAAACTACAGTAAATTAGGCATCTCTGCTTCTGGGAGTTGGATGGCTGTCAGCTGGAGCAGTGGAGCCAAACTGGGCCATGTGTCTCTCATCATCCAGCAGACTAGCTCATGCTTATTCACATAGCAAGTCAGAGTTCCAAGAGCAGTTTTAGAGCAGAAAAATGATGGAAAGGAGGCAGGACTAACTTGCAGCTCCCACTCGGACAGACAGAGCAGCATGTGGAGACTCACATTGTGAACTTTTGCTCCAAGAACTACCACAGGAACATGCTAGGAAAGCCAGAAGAATCCATAGACCCTTTGAAGGAGGTGGATTGCTGCTGCAGACTCTCTGGGACAGCCAAGGAACTGTGAGTTGGCTTGCTTTCTCAGCTGGGAGGCCTGTAGCCTGGGGCAAGTTCTCAGCCCTGTTCACTGACTGCCTGGAAATAAACTCAGTGCTGTTGGGGGTGCATGGTGGGAGTGAGACCAGCCTGTGGCTGCCAGCTTTCCCTCACTTCCCTGATGACCTGTGTGATGCAGCAGAGTCAGCCATAATCCCCCTGGGAACCACACCCCCCACAGCATCTGCAGCAAGCCCCACCTAAGGAGAGTCTAAGCTCAGACACGCCTAACCCTAACCCTGCCCCTACCTGATAGGCTAACAGGGCAGGTAGAGAAAGACCAAGACAAAGGACATAATTTCTTGGGAACTCTATGGCCCCGCCCACCACCTGACACTAGGGCAAGCTTGTATTCTCCCTATACTACTGCAGCTGATGCACTCTTGAAAGTGCCACCTCCTGGCTGGAGGCCAACACAAAGCCAGTGCACTTAAAAATACAACCTAAGGACCCTCACGGAGTCCACTTCACTCCCCTGCTACTTCCACCGGAGCAGGTGTTGATATCCATGGAGAGACCTGAAGACAGATCACATTACAGGACTCCTTGCAGACACTCCCCAGTACTAGCCTGGAGCCCGGTAACTCCGTTGGGTGGCTAGATCCAGAAAAGAAATAACAACCACTGCAGCAGGGTTCTCAGGAAAACACATCCCTAGGGGAAGGGGGAGAACCCCAAGGAACAGGAGAATCTGAACAGCAGCGCTTGACTCCCAGATCTTCCCTCTGACATACTTTACCCAAATGAGAAGGAACCAGAAAAATAATTCTAGTAATATGACAAAACAAGGTTATTTAACATCCCCAAAAGATAACACTAGCTCAACAGCAATGGATCCAAACCAAGACAAAATCTCTGAATTGCCAGAAAAAGAATTCAGAAGGTTGTTAAAATAAAATTATACAGGATATGAATAGAAAAGTCTCCAGAGAAATAGCATAAATAAAAACAATCACAACTTCTAGAAATGAAGGACACAGAGAAATGCAAAATACACTGGGAAGTCTCAGCAATAGAATTGAACGAGTGGAAGAAAGAACTTCAGAGCTCAAAGACAAGGCTTTCAAATTAACCCAATTCAACAAAGACAAAGAATTTTAACAAATGAACAATGCCTCCAAGAAGTTTGGGATTATGTTAAATGACCAAATCTAAGAATAATTGGTGTTCCTGAGGAAGAAGAGAAATATAAAAGTTCGGAAAATATATTTGAGGGAATAATTGAGGAAAACTTCCCTGGCCTTGCTAGAGATCTAGACATCCAAACACAAGAAACTCAAAGAACACCTGAGAAACTCATCACAAAAAGAAGGAAAGGAAACCCTATCAGATTAACAGCAGATTTCTCAGCAGAAACCCTACAAGCTAGAAGGAATTGGGGTCCTTAAACAATT